GTAATTGATGGTTTTTTCCGAGATATATACATATTATCATAAAACAAACATACTCAATTAATTGACATAAATAACATACTAAAGGAATAATAATTTAAAGAGATACATACATATTCAAACATTTGAAATTAATAAAATTCATTTAAGTTCACATAAACGTAAATCGTATTGGTTGTTTTAAATAATTTAATCGATACAATGCAACACTCGTTAGACTCTTAGAAGAGGTATACATTTTCTTAGAAACGCAGCCTTTTTGACAGAAAAAGGGGGGATCCGAGTATCTCTTAATAATCGTTTTCCCCAGGAAATGGGAGGATCATGATAATCGCTTAAAACCTCATTTCCTTAGACGTGCATCTCTTTATAAAGAGTTGAAGTGCGCTATGTATTCGATTAAATTATTGAAAACAACCAATACGATTAAATTATTTCAAATTTATTTTATATTCCACTAAGTACATTAGCAAAATACAAAAAAAAAGACAAATGATGAAGAATTGTATGTACCTCGTGATCGTTCCAAACATCCCTTGAACGATGGTTGGGTTGATCAATTCTCGTACAAGTCGGTTGGATCAATAGGTCCTTGATCCAAACAATACCGTTGGTTATATATATCCACGTCGTCCCCAACCTACGATAGAATAACAACAAGGTTAGTATATATAATAATTAAAAAGCTTAGAAACACAACAAAAATTGACCAGAATAATGAGTACGTATTGCTTGAAATTCATCATAATAAACTTCCTCTCCTTGGAACCACTCGTCCATTTTTTCGCGAAAGTCAGATAGAAATTCGGCGGGTTTTGAGGGAAAAACCAAAGAAATGTTTTCTGATGGTAGATCAGATTTAGCCGCAACCAACAAACCACTATTTCCTAGGCTTTTGGGAGGGGAGGGGATAGAGAGATAATTTTAGAGAGAGAGAGAGAGTGAAGAATGAGTTGTGGTGTGAAGAAATGAGAGGGTGGAGGAGTATTTATACTATTCAGACCGCACCCTCCAAGGGTGGTTTGGTAATTTTGCACTCAATGAAACCGAATCGGGAGGGTGCGGTTTCCGTTTCTCGAGGCGCTGACCGCAGCAGGCAGGTGCAGTCTTCGATCCATGGCGCGGATCGCTGATGTGGCATGCGGTCCGTCGTTGGATCGTCGCGTTGTTCAACAGTCTTGAAGGCCGCTCCGGAGGAAACACAAACCGCAGCTTTCTAGTGCAGTTCCCTGACTGACGTGGCACATACGACATCTCCAATATGCGGTTTCATAAAAATGATGCTATTTTTATAATTTTTTATGGGCTGGGTGCTATTTTTGTAATTTTTTCTAAAACGTGCTATTATTGAAAAATCCCCTCTAATTACTCATTTAATTGCTCCATAATTGGTTGCATACTTTTCACTCCACAGTTGCCCTCTAAAATCCCAGAACTCTTGCTATGCATGACAATGGAAACAAAGCATTGATCTGAGATTTTGTTTGTTGTTCACAAAGAGATAGAAAGGGAATAGAGTGAAAAGAGGGTGAAAATGTATTTTTGGACAAAATGTCTCATTTCAATTGTCTCATTCCAAATACTAACCAAACAAGATAATTTCAACCAAATTCCTCATATAAATTATACATCGTTTAAACTGAGGCGATTGAGCCAAATTGACTCATTCACTAATTGCTCAATCCAAATGATCCCCTACCTAATTATCATAATCCATCCACCATCTCTCTCCCTCCCCCCTTACCTCTCTCTAGAGGTCAGGACTTAACTTTATGAAGGTCGTTTTGGAGCCCGACTTTGATAGGACCGTGTCAAATCACCCAACTTGTAGAGGTTTAACAACCTTGCTTTAATCGGTTATATACATTTTTTAAATATATGTACAAATAACGTAGTAATTAAAACAAATGACTAAAATGAAATTTATTTTGTATGTATCTATTAAAAACGAATCTCCCATAAAAGAAAACCTATATAAATGACCCACCAACCATTTCTTTTTCCTCTCTCCTCATCCCTCCTTCCCTATCTCTTGTTCTCTCTAGGGGTTAGATAGTTGGCTTCTGGAGGTTGCTTTGGAGCCCGACTTTGTCCGGATTGGGTCAAATCGGCCGATATTGGTGGGTGTGCTTCCTTGTTCCACTGTGAAAATCCAAGGACCGGACTCCCCGTTCCAGCCAATCTCCTTTTGGATGAAGATCGACCTCATTATTCATTTCCCAGGGGCAAGGAAAAGAGTAAAGTTCCCCTCAGGCAGGGTGGTCAACTCGATATCGCACAAGTGCTTAAAATAAACGAAGCCCTTACTAGTACTAGCAGTTGAGGTTCAACCATTCCTTCAAGCGAGTGCCGCAAGGAAAGTAGTACAAAGAACGATCCAAATTAGTCTCAAACACAAGAACGAGGAGTTTGACAACCTTGCTTTAACCTGTTAACAATTAAATTGTATTGACTGTACCAGTTTAATCCATAACCACAACTTTTAGTGATTCAGTTAACAATAAATTGGTTTTTCTTAAAGAAATTACTAATCAAATCCATAATTATTCACCAGCATAATCTTGTTGTTTCTGAATTTTGGTAAAGGGGAAAAGTCTCGAGATTTAAGGGATCACTCAAAGTCTCACTTTCCAGTTTCAACATGTCAAATCTCATCCCATCCATTGCAAACAACCCTCATAGAGTCTCAAACGTCCCAAATAGTTTCTAGATTCAGAGCAATATCTATTGTACCCTCTTTCAAATTCTACTAATTTACCTGTCATGACTTCACCAAGACCATAAATACGAGCAATGTCGTTAGAAGAGGCCCCTCTCTCTTCCTCCCTTTAGAGTGGATGGAGCCGGTTCTCTCCTTAATAGTTTATGTCTCTTTGACGTTTGAGGATGATGATCATCTTCTGGTGCTTGTGTAATTGCATGCACAAAAAGATTATATGCTTCTAAAAGGAAAAGGAATCCTACGAGGTTAGAGCCAAATGTTTACTTGGAAGATGAAATTATATTCAACACACTTGATTTTGTTGTTTTATGTTGTAGAAGTCAAATTGGAGTGAATATCACAAATATTGCATAAGGTTGCAAGGAAATTTTTGGCCATTCATGTCTCTAGAGTGGCTTTAGAGTCGACCTTTTCTAAAGGAACCCACACATGCTAAATTATGGTGATGTTTGTTTCGTGAATTTGAAAAATGAAGGTTTTGGTCAAATTTGAATTTTGAAAAATCACGTACATATGAGGGTTTTGGCTTCATTAGGGATTTGATAAAAACCATTGCTTGTTTCATGGAGTTCATGATGGATTTTGTTAATTAGATTTGTATGTATGAAGTAAAATTTATTTTTATTGCACTCAACACCTCAATGATATATGAAGATAAAGAAAATATAAGGGGTAGGTTGGTAAAAAATGTTGAACTACAAAGTCCATGATCAATTCCCACCTAAAGAGGTGGAATTTTCAAATCCATGGGGCCCACGGATTTGGAATCTTAAAGTCCATGGGTCCCACGGATTCGTTATCTCAAAATACTTGAAAAGCAAACAACGAATTTCGGACAAAGTCCATCATTGATCCAAATCCATAATCAAATCCTAATTTGTCGATCTTAGTGAATAAGCTACGATCGTCCCCCCCCCCCCCCCCAAGCTTCCACCATATTCATGCAGTAAGTTTTAGAGATCAAAGGTCAACATCTTTTAACTTCGCTGCTTCGTATGTTCCCATTAGCAATGTTTGAGCTTCTGCTTCGTCGATTCCGTAGTTACCCTTTTCCCCTTCTTACAAAGTTGAGAATAAATTTCCTTGACGACTGACGAGTCTCTTATCACATATCCCATTCCAAAACCCTCAGTTCCCAGTAGCGTTGTGTTTGTATTCAGCTTGTAGCCTCCCCAGGGGTGCCTCCAAACACATTTGCTCCCTCTGTATGGCTTGATTTTAGTTATTCTGATCTTGAAACTCAATGCAGTCATTCAGCCAACGAAAAGTTCTTCGAGCAATTTTTGTTTCCTCCATATTAGGAGTATTACAAATTATCATCAAGACTCAAATCGGTGACCATGAATGTTAAAGTGGATCGACAAGGTTTAGAGAAAATAATAATCATCATCAAGTTTAGTCTAATGTCAATGTTGAGTTTAGACTTTAGCTTTAGTTATGTTTTATCTTTTGTTCTTCAAAAGCAAGGTGGCACACCTTTGTTATATAGTGTCACTCTTGAACTATTTAAACTAAAAGATGAATGAAAATTAAGAAACACTCAAAGATTCTAGGGTTCCATTTCACAACTCATCTTTGTTGTTATGGTATCAGAGCCGTTTTAGAGAATCCTAAAAACCTTCTACCCGCAAAATAAGGACTATGTCCAGATCTGAAATTGTCAGATCATAAACCCTAAAAAAACATTTCTTCTTCTACATTGCATCTCTTCCCATCCAAACCCACAATTCCTTCACAATCTATGTTCTTCATCCATTTGTTTCTCGTTTTAAAAAAATAGAAATATATTTCAGATCCAAAACCCACTCTCTTTTTCCCCAAAATTCCCAAATTTCCTCCTACCTTTTGCGACAATCTTACAGACCGTTTGGTACCAAAGAATCTAGAATTCATTTCGTTTTAAAATGAATTCCTGTGTAGAATTCATTGTCAAATGAATTCATGTGTTTGGTATATGCTATTAGCGTTACAATCAAATTCTTGTCGACGTTCCTCATGCTGCATGAATTGACGCCAAATAATATATCTAGAAGTAATTTTGTTAATAAATGAGAATAATTATGTCCTTTTATCATAATTGGTAAATACTTGTGGAATTCATTTGAAAATTCTATCTCAATTCCTCGGAATTGTTATAACTAGTTCCAATTTCGTAGAATTCAAAATTTAGAATTGAAAATGAATTTTTTTAAATACAAAACAAAAAATATTTCATTTCAAAATAAATACCTAAAAATATATGAAATTCATTTATACAGTATGTTAATCTTTTTCGATCATATTCCAACCCGACCAATTTCACCTTCTTCAATCCGTTTCTCATCTCCGACAAAGAAAACGTAAACCCTAAATCAAAACGTTCTCCCAGTTGCCTTTCCCGTCTCACAACCAGAAGAGCAACCTGCAGATCTGAAGTCGGGCGGGAGCTCCAGCCGGCAGATTTGAATCGTCGTGACCATCACACTCGACCAATATCCTCAACTTCTCGGCGATGTCCATGAAAGCTCTGCGCAGTAAGCCTTTGTCGCCAGATCTGGAGAATCCGCTTCCAAACCACTTTGTTCATCATTGTCAACACTGCTCTACCATCACCTCGGCGACCAGCAACTCGTCACCGCCCCTCTCCTCAGCACGGGACACGGCTCCGCGCCATCATCGACCGCCATGCCGCACTCGCCGGCTTCATCAGAGCGCTACTCGAACCCGCCAACGAAGAAAAAGTTTGCCGAGAAGATTCCTGCGGTGAAGTCACCCAGAGCCAAGAAGAAAATATACCACCTTCTCCCCTATTCAAGCCCACAAAATGCCGGGACAGAAAATTCAGACTAGACAAAGTCGGCAACAAAGGAGAAGCGGGAAGCTGAATCCTTGAACCCCTGGAGGGAGAAAAAAAAAAAAAAAAACAGAATCCAGCCATGAAATTGCCGAACCAGCACCTTCAACACAAGCTTGGAGTGGACAGTCAAAAGTTTCTTCAGATTGAAGGTGAGATTCATGAACTTGAGGTTAAAATTAATCGATTGAATGATCAAAAGAAAGCTGCCGAGAAGGAGGTTGTGGGGCTTGAAATTGTTTGGAGTTCTATTTAGATGAATCTGTTTATGGATGAAATGAGAGTTCTTAAAATTGTGGTTGATAAGGCAAATGTGATTGATTCTGAGAAGAAATGCCAGATTGTCAAGGTTTGTTCTTTACATGAAGAAATCAAAAGCTTCAAATGTTTATGGGTTGAGTTTCACGGTGTGTGAAGGAGAAGTCATCACTAGTTTCTACACAGTGAGAGATGAAAGGTTCAAGGGACAAGAATCCCATTTTTCTTGCTGGGAATCAGTAAGCAGGAGAACAAAAAAGAAGCGGAAAGTTTCAGCAACAACAAGAGAAAAAAAAAAGTTCATGTTTCAGCAAAGACATCAGAAGCAAGGGAAATAACAATTCCTTGTTTTAGAAAACAAGAGAAAGGGCAGTAGCCAATTTAAAGAAGCAGAGGGACGTAGCAAAACATTGCACTCCTTTGTTGATTTCACATGTTTCTGGTAGGAGTGTTAGCTAGCAAGATGCAGCAGCATATCCTACCAAGTTTCAATCCACTGAAGCAGAAAAGCTGAAGATGTGAAAGAAAAGCCAGTAGCCAAGATGCAGCGACATTTTTTTATTGAAAGAGTGCTAGCCAGCCAAGAAAAAGCAGCAACATATCCTTGCTTTTTTGTGGAGTAAATGAAGCTACAAAGTTGCAGTTGGGGTTTAGTAGTTGAAGAAGAAGAACGAAAGTTAGCTAGCAAAAAATGTAGCGCCTTATCCGAGTTAATTTGGAGAAACTGAAGCTACAAAGCTGAAGTTGGAGGTTGAGGAGTTGAAGAAGAAGAAGAAGAAGAAGAGGAGAAGATGAGTGGGATGCCAACTAGCCAAAGATGCAGTGGTATCACCTGTTGAAAAAGACAAAGATTTCATAGCTAGCTAGCCATAGATGCAACATCTTTTCAGAAGATGTGTGAGAAGTTAGCTAGCAAGATGCAGAGCTTCACCATTTGAAGATTGAAGGGAAGTTAGCTAGCCAAAGTGCAACAACAATCTCAAGTCCAGACTGTATTCTCTCTTCAATCTTGGTCTGCACAGAAGAGTCCATCAAATAGAAATAAAAAATAGGTCGCGATATATAATCAATTTTTACTTTTTCCGCATCGGGGCATTTTGAAAGAATAGTATAAGACTAAAAGGTTATATCATTTCATGGCGGATCAATGAATGATTGTTATTGGGCCGAGCTGGATTTGCTCACTTGCTTGCGCGGGGGGGGGGGGGGGGGGGGGGGGGCTTCTCTCATGGTACAATCCTCTTCTCGCTGAGCCCCTTTTTCCTCGGTTAACAAAGATAAAATGTAGGACAGCCGCCAACAGTTCATCAGGGAAGAAAGGATTCACTGAGCCGGAATTTCCTCAAAGGTGCTCTCAATATAAGCATATAATAAAGCAAGAATTTAGTCGAGAGAGCAAGTAACGAACAATCTTGAAAGCATGAATAGAGTTATCAACTTTATGCAAATATTTATTGTCTTGCAAAGAAAATTGTACTTCAACACTCATTCTTTCCTCTCAATTGCTTTATTCATATGATATCCATGTTCTTTTCAATATCCTTCTTCACGTCCCATGGACTTTAGTGGAGATCTTACACTTGGTGGTACATTGCACAAACACATATGGAGCCCCAAGTCACAGTGGCATTGTTGGCCCCATGAAGCACAATCATCTTGACTTTGACATGGTTTGCTTAAGTATCTGCCTTCTGCTCCAATACGATTCTTGTTCCCACCTATAATATCCAATTTCAATGATAAGGAATCTCGTTAGTGACCAAATTAATCTATTATTTTGTTAATTAAAAACAATAAATTTTTAAATTTATATGCAACCATACACATCAACAAAATATACTTACAAAAAACAACGAAAGTCAAGAGCGCAATGCAGAACAACAACTTGCAATTAACCTTCTCCATTATACTTGGATATGGATTGTCACTTGATGAATGTATGAGCTCTTTGCTTCTCTATGAGATTCCTGTTAGTGAATTTTGTGATTCAAAAGACATAATTTTGCATTTGTTTATAGAAAAGCGAAAAAGGTATAAAATCTCACCATGCCATATTTATCTTTCAGTCTTTTAGAAAGTGATAAATGTCACAAGTTTTCCATTTTTCATGTAAGCTAATTGTCCTCATTGACAACGATTATGATTGAGGTGTCCCAAAATTTCATTAGAACCAATAAAACAAAATCAAACAATAAAACCAACAATAGTATAAACCATTTACTACTTGAAATATAAGACTCGAATATAAATGAACTTTAAACATATAAAATCAAAGGCTTCGAAAAAACTGCAAATATAAACATACAAATTAAAGAACACAAAAATAGACTGAGTTGAAGCAAGACATAAAGGATATGAAAAGCAGAGAAAAAAAATCCAAATACTGAAATATAAAGATGCAGTAAATCAATCAAATTATAATACACAATCAAGTTTCATACAAATTTTGCTCTATCCTGTTCCACCTATTTGCCCATGATTTCCCGTCTGCAACAAGCTATAGTAGATCTTTGTGCATGATTTCACGTATGTCATACATGTGTAACTTAAACACAGTTAATGCACTGTGTTGAGTTTCATGATGGTTGATGCCTTGTGTGCCTTAGCGGCTTGTGTTGCAGAATGGATCAACTTGTGAATGGTGGTTGGCTTCTGCAGGTTTATCAGTTAGTGTGGGGTGTTTCTTTCTCCATGGCTTTTCCTGTGGGTTGACTTGTTGGGTTTGGATGTTTGTTTGCCGTCTTCTATTTTTTAGCAGTCGGGGTGGTATGGTTCACCTAGCTGCATTTTGTATCTTCAGTTGAAGGCTGATTCAGTTCTTTGTGAATCGTTTTCATCACGATGTGTTGAACTCTGGTTCTTTTCTTTACTTTTCGTTTGAATACATTTTATAATCATTATAAAAAAAAACTTAAACACAGACTGGTGACGGAAGAAGCATGTGTGCAGGGGGATTCAAGAGAATTGAATAATTTGGTTTTTAATAAAAATTTACTTTGTTACTTTCATTGAATTTTATTTTTCTCTTAATAAAATGTATTATTATGTTATAACACACTTAAGATGTTGTCACCTTATCCAATTTCGTGCAAAACTTAGGAACGTAATATTCTGCCATATCTAGAGATGAAACGATGATTTCAGATTCAGGGAAACTACATAAACCTTTATGGATATTTACAATCCAGAAAATTGCTTTACTTCATTGAACTAAATAACCATATTATGTGTGTAAAGTTACTAGAAAGTTGAACCAAGCAGTCCCATGATGATGTGCGGCCCAGTTGCGCTCTATAAAAATACATTGTGATTTTGATAAAGATTATAGCAATCGTTGGTGTTAATCAAAAGTGTTCTCAATATAAGGATACCAAAGCTAATTAAGTTGGCAAAACAATGTGGACGGAGCCAAGATTTTAGGTTTAGGGGTCGAAATGGCTGAATGAATTATCATAAAATTCAAGAAAAATAACGAATGGAATAATTTAAGGAAAATAATGAGGACATATTCATAACCAGGTAAGATTATATCTGAAAAATAAAAATAATTTAAAATAGAGTACATTCTAAGTTTCTACGATGTTATGTTCATAAAAAAATGAGCAAGTTATACAACAACAAAAAAATTAAATATGCAAGGCAATGTAAACCATGTTATTAATGTTTCAAAAAGAATTCACTAATTAACTATATTGCCAAAAGATTTCTTAAAATAAAAACTCAAGAGTCGAAGAACTTAACTAACATTATTTGGAAGTATAGGACTTATCAAGCAAAATATGAAGCTTACAGGATTAAATTTATTTTTTTGGTTAAAAGAAGTAATATTAGTGTTTCAAAAAGTAATTAACTTATTAATTACATACGCAAAAGAATTCCTAAATACCAATTCATGAGTTGAAGAACTGAACGAAATTTGAAAAAACAAAATATGAAACTTGAAGGATTAAATTTACAATTTGGTTAAATGAAAGTAAAATTAACTGTCAATAAGCGAATAAATGCGGCCAGCTAGGTTCACACCTGCATCATTTATCTAAGGGTAAACTTAATAATCCACCCACTAAACTGACGACACTGCGCTCTTAAACATTTTTTACACGTTACATATTAGTACTGAACAATCATTTTATACATAATTCTCCGACTTTTGTAGCAATTTATACCTAAGTTTTGAAATTCTGGGGCTACATAGCTCCACCCCCGGAAACAAGTACAAATATGGAGACCTTTGGAAGCAAAAGTAGAGCTATCAACTACATATAATATTTGGTAGTGTGGTATTTGTAGGTTGAAATGACTCAACAATTAGTTGTGATATTTTTGTGGTATTTGTGAAAATCGAGAAATGAAATGTTTTATCGGGATGGATCAAATAGAAGGGTTATTTTAAATGCAGTATTTATGACAAAAGTGATTGATTTTAAATGTAGTATTTATGACAAAAAGTGCTAAAATACAATGTTCTCTTTTATATTCTTGGTTGCCTTAACCTGGACTAATCTACCATACTCTCTGAAAAAAACCCAACAACTATTTTAGCACACTTCATACAACAACATACTTCGTAGTTCATACAACAACATTACATAACTATTTTTCAGTTCTTGAAGGTGGGCACTTCCATTTTCAGTCACAAGAGCTCGATGCACATACCAACTTAATTTATTGATTCCGTTTTGACTAGCAGCAATCACCGGTAGCTGGAAGCAGAATGATGTAATTAAGGAATTGAGGAAAATGGAAAAGCTCTGGAAATATCAGATTCCTAATTTAACAGCCAAAAGGAACTCTCAAAAAAGTCTCAACTGGCTCTCATCCAGCCTCTAGTTTTTTTTTTCCTGTGCAAAATGGCCCTATGAAAGATGTTCGATGCTCGAAGATAGGCTGTTTGCTAATCGAAGATAGGCTGATCGGAGACAGTGGAATTGGAATCCAATTCTTACAAGAAACCAACAATTCCAGAAACCTCCAATTCGATAATCAGAGAATTGGAACCCAACTCAAAATTCATGCAACCCCTAATTCTTACTAGAAATACCCAATTCTAGAAACATAGAATCAAACTAGCCACCTTCCGATTCATTCAAACCCAGATTTAATAAACATAGACTCGAAACCCACCTCTACATTGACCGACGACGACTTGAAGAAAAAGCCCAGCTCCACCACCCATTCTTTCACTTCAACCATCCACCACTTCCTTCGAAATCTTCATCATCGCCTGCAAATCCAACCATCTTTGCATGCCTTGCAAACTCAATCATCTTTTGATGAAGGAAGGCGTCAGGGAGTAGGGCTGGGAAAGTAGACCAGACCGTTTGAAAAATCATGGTCCAAATCGGACCGCACAGTTTCGTCCGGACCGTAGACCGTTAAATATGGTCTGGTCTGGTCCATAGTGTGTATTATATGATGTTTTGATTTCTTGGTCTGGTCTGGTCTAGACCATGGTTTACCGGACCAAATCGTGGACCCACTAGACTTCTCAATATGTCTTAGCAACCCACTTGACCACTCTCCCAACTCCCACAACGATACCCAAGTCTCAATCTTAATTTTGAAAATCTCGTCATTTCTTCGTTCACAACCACATTTCATTAGAGAGTAGAGACGATCATGTCTTCATTTGACATTACGTAAATGTTTATGACGTTATGGTGCAAGTTAAGATGTTTTAACTTTGTATCTTCATTATTTACTAAGAATTATGGTATCAAAATTATCCATGCATGTAGGAATTTATGTTTTAAGGAAATAAAACATTGTTTTCTTGGCTATTGGTTCAATTTTTTATGCGGTTGACTAATTAAATTGTTCATTTTTCGTTCCCTATGGTCTATGTGGACCAAACCGTACCAGACCAGGCCGCACAGGCGTGGTCTTGACCGTATAGTCTGTGGTCTGGCCTGTGGTCTATACTCTAACCTCTCGGTCTGGACCGTAGACCGCATAATATGATCCGGTCTGGACCAAACCGCACCGTTTCCTAGCCCTATCAGGCAGAGGGAAGCAAGAAGACATAAATTCACGAGCAAGAATTCGTTTGACTTTTGCATAGAGCAACGATTCTGAAGCACGATTCTTAGCACCGTCGTCCCTTTGCCCGATCTACAGAAGCCCGGCTATCGCCGCCATCAGATGCCTTGTAAAAACAAACAAAGGGAGGTTTGAGCTCCGACATTATAATTCTCATCTCTAACAAAGTTTTCTTTGTGTGAAACCCTAGGGCTTAGATTTCTCATTGACCTGTTCACAATATATATATCAAACTTGGCTACTACAAGACAACCATAGCCAGCTTGTTACAGACTTGTGTTTGTTCTTTTGCTTGAAATGGAAACAAATTTAAACTTGACGAAAAAAGCAACCACACACTTGAAATAGATAGAAACGAAACCATAGGATAAAAACGGTGCACATCACTTTAAACAGCTTTCCTGAGCATCGTCTACATCTTCATCTTGACTGTTGGCAGGTGATTTGAATTTTAATTGGGTCTGGTCTGTTACCACCTGCAAGCTGGTGGGCATAAATTATGCACACCGAGCTCGGAGATGAGGTACCGAAACGAAGCCGGAGAAATCGGTTTGGTGAAGAGATCCGCCAGCTGGTGAGAGGAAGATACATGGAGCTGCTTGAGGACTTTTGATTAAATCTTCTCACGAACCAGGTGACAGTCCAGTTCGATATGCTTCGTTCGCTCATGAAAGGTAGAGTTCTTGGCGATATAAATTGCACTCTGATTATCACAAAAAAGTGTGGCAGGATGTGTATGAGATACCTTGAAATATGCAAGAAGTAATATGAGTCATTGAAGCTCACAAGTTGTGAAAGCAAGAGCCCTATACTCTGACTCACAGGAAGAACGACTAACTATTTTTTGCTTCTAGCTTTTCCAGGAGATGAGAGAGCTGCCAAGATAGATACAATAGCCAGAAATTGAGCGGTGGCTATCAACACACAACCCAATCAGATTT